CTTCCAGTCGGGACATTTTCCCCCCCTTCCAGTCTGGACACTTTCACCCCCTTCCTGTCCAGGCCAATTTTCAGCTTTCAGCGCTATCACACTTTGAATGACAATTGCGCGGTCATGCAACACTGTACCCATATGAATTTTTTAGCATTTTTTTAGACAGATAAAGCTTTATTTTGGTGGTATTTATTCACCACTGGGATTTTTATTTTTTTTGCTATGTAAATGAAAAAGTCCAAAAATTTAGAAAAAAGTGTTTTTTCTTATAAAATTTTGCAAATAGTATTTCATCATAAATCTTGGCCAAAATTTATTCCGTTATTAGTAAAAAAAAAAATAACCCAAATTATTTAGAACCAAAAATTATAATTATTAAACATTTTTTTTTGCATTTTTTTTTTATATTATTATTTATGTTTTTTTTTTTTAACATACTGTCAGTATGTTTTTGCACTAGGCTGTAAAAGCAATAATTTCTCCTTCTCTCTGGCTGCATTCTTGCAGCAGTACAGTATGTTGAGCTGTGATTGGTCACAGCTTGTCACATGGTTCAAGGCTGTTGTGAATAGCCTTGTACCATGTGACTCTGTGATCATTCACAGATTTCACACATAGTAAGCAATGATGTCACAAGTGACATCTTGCTTACTACTCTGCATGTGATCACTGATTGGCCAACGAGTGATCACATGATCGGGACCTCGCACAGAGTATTTTTCAGAGCCCATTTGGCTGCTTGTATTGCCCCTTCATGGTCTATGTTGGTGTATCATGAGTGAGCTCTATGTTTTGAATGAGTTGTATAATCTGTTTAGTATCTTTGAGAAATGTTGGAGTTTTGGTCACCAGTGGTTGTAAAACAACAATCCATGTATTCTTCAATTCTTGCTGAAAGTGAGTCTATTCCGTTTATAATAGGTCTTCCTGGGGGTTGTTTGCTATCTTTGTGAATTTTTTGAACCATATACATCACTGGTATTTTACACGTGGATGGGATCAGATTTTTTTTTTCCTTTTTATTCAGTATATACTTTTCCTACTTCCATAATTAACTATTTTTGCCAGTTCTTTTTTGTATAATTTCGTGGGGTCACCATTTAAAGTCATGTAGATATTTCTGTCACTGAGCATCTTTTTCATTTCTTGTTCGTAAATAATGTTTAGATAGTACAACTATTCCCCCCCCCCCCCCTTGTCTGCAGGTCGGACAACAATATCCTTTCTTTTCTCCAATGCTTCTATACCTTTATTAATCCCAGCCGTGCCCCTATGTTTTCTTATAGGGAGACTATCTAAGTCCTATGACCAATTATTTAAACATGTCTATATATCTATTGTCAGTGGGTACTGGATTGAATGTGGATTTATTCCTCAGCAGTGTATGATGTGCTTCCATTCCATCATCATTATATATTGGGGTCACATTGGGGTTTTGAGCATAATATATTTTTTAATGTTGAGATTCCTAACCAGTTTTTGAATGTTTACGTAAGTGTCAAACTTACTTAAACCTTTGCTTGGGGAAAATTTTAGTCCTTTATTCAGAACCAGTAACTCTTCCTCAATGAGGTTGAAGATGCCTTCTCCTATTACTCCCTTCTTCTCTTTTGTTTTGTTTCTTCCTCCTATACATCCTCCCTTGCGGGTCTTTCCTTGTATTCTCCCCCCCTTGGGTTGGATTCCATCCTAAAAAAGGATTGGGGATGGGGGATACTGGTTATTCCTGTGCCAGGGGTGAATATTTTGCACAGGTACTTGGTAAGGTCTGAATGGGTTTTTTTTTTAATTGGGGTCTTTGCGGCCTGGGTTTCTGGTACCCATAGCACTGATAATTTTTATTATAGGGTGCATAATTGTTTGTGTGGACCTGGGTGTGTTCTGGGTGGATACCATCTGTGCGAATGCTCATGTTTGGGTCGGCCCCCATAGGGTGGGTAGTGTGGTGGTGTTCTATGTGGAGCTTGGGGTGGTCTCCAGTGATGGTTATCCTGTTTTGGTATGTGCTCTTCATAATGGGTGTTTTTTACTTTTATATGAATCTCCTCTTTGGCTTTGATGTTCTGGGATTTTAAAACCCAAACTGTTTCTCTTTTTTGGTGAGTTTGTGGGTATATCTCTTTCTGTTGTGGACTCAGCTGAATGTAATTTGTTGTTAGCCAATTTCACCTGCCATTTAAATACCTGTTTTTGTTGGTAATCTTGTAGTACTTTGAGGTATTTTTTATTTTTCTTACTTTTATTTTCTGAGTCTTTTTTCTGTATAATTTTGCTTCATTCATTCATTTGTCTGCTACACTCAGTCTGTTCTTTTAGTGGCTCAATTTTTTCCTTATACTCATTTATGAGTGTATCTAGTTTGCATATTTTCCTTTGTTGAGAAAATGTAAGACCTCCATGCCCCCTTTTCATTGAAAAAAATTATACCATTCTTGTATATCTTCCCTCTTCTAATAACCCATCATTTATGGGTACTTCCCACCTTAATTTTCGGAGGACCGTTTTGTCTTTAATATATTTCTCCATAGTAACCATATCCCACCATACATTTTTTTTTATCCATAATATGGCCAAGTTTTCTGAACAAACCAGTGATATTAGTGTCCTTATTCTCTTCATTTTTAAATACATCCTCTGTTAAAGTCCCTTCTATCTAAATAAGAAAAAACTTCCATAGCTGTTACCAAGTGTATGAGCGAAAACCAAAGCAAAATTATAATCAAGACTTGTGAGCTGCTATATCAGATAATTTGTGCCAAACCAAAACCGGCACATTTTGGTTATATGTAGTAGTATGTGTTGTATTTTGGTTTGGCATGAATTATCTGATATAGCAGCTCACAAGTCTTGATTATAATTTTGCAATTATAATCAAGCGTAATGCTAAAACCAGAAATGCATCAACAGAGACCTATTTGGTACCATTACTACATAACCAGAAACTTGTCCGCAGAGACACAATTGGTATGATTATGGCATAACCAGAAACATGTCTGTAGAGGTTCAGTCAGTACCTTAATGGCACAACCAGAAACATGTCCACAGGGACGCAATTCATACCATAATGATAAAACTAGAAACCTGTCAACAGAGACCTATTTGGTACCATTGCTACATAACCAGAAACTTGTCCGCAGAGACACAATTGGTATGATTATGGCACAACCAGAAACATGTCCACAGGGACACAATTCATACCATAATGATAAAACCAGAAATGCATCAACAGAGACCTAATTGGTACCATTTTTACATAACCAGAAATGTGTCTGCAGAGACACAATTGGTATGATTATGGCTGTAGAGGTTCAGTCAGTACCTTAATGGCACAACCAGAAACATGTCCACAGGGACGCAATTCATACCATAAAGATAAAACTAGAAACATGTCAACAGAGACCTATTTGGTACCATTGCTACATAACCAGAAACTTGTCCACAGAGACACAATTGGTATGATTATGGCACAACCAGAAACATGTCCACAGGGACGCAATTCATACCATAATGATCATACAACAGAGACCTAAATGTACCATTTTTACATAAAACTAGAAAGGTTCCTGTCAACAGAGAAACATGTCCACAGGGACGCAATTGGTACCAAAACTAGAAACCTGTCAACAGAGATCTATTTGGTACCATTACTACCTAACCAGAAACTTGTCCGCAGAGACACAATTGGTAGGATTATGGCATAACCAGGAACATGTCTATAGAGGTTCAATCAGTACCCAATGGACACCACCAGAAACATTAAATACTAAACACATTAATATACAGCGCTTCATATAAAACGCATTAATTAAAATTTTTTTAAAGTGCTTTGTGCAAAAATCCAACTGTTACTAATACATAAAGTGACACGTGCCTTATGAATTAATAATTGCACTCAAAGTGTTCTTATACCATTTATAATTGCCATGCTCAGTGTTGCAGTCCACATAAAAAAACCTTTAGTGCCATCCACTTACCAATCTGTGAATCCACCTCAAGCTTCACGTAAAACTCACCAGATATTCTGACCCTGTAAGTTATGGGTCAACTTGCGCTCTATTTACCTTAGGGGGTTCCACGACACCTCCGTTGTTCTTCTATATCCCACTTTGGTAGACCAAAGGGAAAAAACAAAGGGGCACCATAGCATAAAATCTTTTTATTAAAAAAAAAAAATTGCTTAAAAGCAAATGCACACTCAATGTAGACGTGCTTCTCCCCAGCACCTAGCTGGGTACAGCTCCCAGCTCCACCAGCTAACTTGTTGTGAGACCGGTCCATGTGTGGAATGACATCACTGTCCATAGCTCTTCCCATCGCATTTTGTTATTCGACTTCTTTAGGGACCCATCCCTGAAGATGTTGAATGACGAAACTCATCATGGCCGAGCTATGGACGTCATCCCACACACGAATTGGCCTCACACCGAGTTAGCTATTTTTTTTTGATAGAGCACTGTATATGGATGTGTTTAATATTTATTGACACTATAGGGTGATTGACTACAGGAGCTAAATATGTAAATTAGGTTTAAATTAGTTAAGAAGTCTGTTCAACCAGAAACATGTCTATAGATGCATAATTCATACCATAACACAACCAGGTGGTGTCTGAACTACACAGTCATTTTATTTTGAATTAACCTCAGTTGTTATTTCCAGAATACATAATGATCAGGTAAATGACCCCAGACCACGGTATTAAAGGCCCTACAGCAGTGGTAGGACAGAGAGTCAAGTGCTATATTCTAACCTATGGACTCCATTGCCCTGTCCCTCTCCAGGTCGCCCTCACCTGCACACAGATTTGGTGGACCACCGAGGTCGGCATTTCTTTCGCCCGGCTGGAAGAAGGCTATGAGAACGCCATGAAGGAGTACTACAAGAAGCAGGTCGGCCAGCTGAATACACTCATCACCATGCTGATCGGGCAACTTTCTAAGGGAGAACGACAGAAGATTATGACCATCTGTACAATCGATGTGCATGCTCGTGACGTCGTCTCCAAGATGATCCAGCAGAAGGTGAATGCTATCGGATGATTTAAGTTTATTATTTTAATTAACTAATTCACCCCCCCCTCTCTCTTCTCATGGCATTTTTACTTTAGTTTTTATTGTTTCTATGTAACATTTTTAAATTTGCATTAATTGTTTTTAATGCAACTTGTGTAAATCTTGGGAAAACATTGTGTTTTCCTTTTCTCTTAAGTTGACATTTCACTAATAGTAAAGGTAAATTCCAGACAGATGTAGAGCACAACTGTAGGAGCCACTGGTGGGTGAAGTTCTATTTCTCCTTGGAGCACACAAAGCCAGGTCCACTACATTTTCCCCACTCTTCCATTGGCTCCAAAAAAACAGTCTAGGGGTTTGTTTTAGGGTTTTTAGTGGGAACGATGAACTGGGATAGGGATAGCGAGTATGGGATATCCCAGAAAACTCACTTTCTGGCTTCACAAAAAAAATTGAAAGTCCCACAGGATCTCTTTGCTGATGGTGCCTGTACTACACAGCTATACAGTCACTAACTCTTCACCACTGGTCATCGGTTGCCTCTTTTTGATATCCACCAGGTTCTTACTACTGAGGAAGATGTATACTCACACCATTATAGGACAACTGGACCTTTTCCCACCAACTTCCTCCTCGCTCTTTCTAGCGAGCTTCTCCAGACCCAACTTAATCCCTGCACTCAAGCCCCCCAGCTAATCCTAGCTGGGACCTTGGTGTCTTCCTGATGGATTCTCCTAGAAATATGCCCCAGGGCAGAGCCCTGTACAGGGGTCTCCTTCAGTAGGACTGGGTCCAGGAACTCTCCTGCTGCCTCAGAACCCAGGCTATTTATGAGCTCTTCCTCCCCCTTCTGGGCACACTCAGGGGTGTATTTACTGCAAAGCAAACAAGGCATTTGCCTTGGGCGTCATTTTTCAGAGGGGGCGGAAGAAAGGACGATGGTTCTCCTTGGCATTGGGACTGGACGGTGAGTCTCTCTCCTTCTCTGGGGGACGGGTTTGCGGTGGTGTACAGGGGTCGCAGGTGGGGGGGGGAGTGGTGGGTAGTCAGGCTGAGGCTGGTTCCCAGGGGTGTGATCCCTCTCCTCCAGTGTGATAAGGCTGCTGGCCGGTGCCGGTCTGTGCCTCGCCCTTGCCCCTCCTGGCGGTGCACTGATCATTGGTATGAAGTGGACTCCTGGAGCTGGGGGAGAGGGAAGAGACAATCCAGGATACATGTACACCGGGGGGGGAAAAAAAATCACAGACGACCCAAGGAGGAGAGCTGCTTTCCAGAGGAGTCTGCCTTATCCCCAGGGTGGGGGAAGTGTCACACCAGGAATACCAGCACCGGAAAATCCCTTTCCCCCCCCCCCCCAACCCGAACATGGCCATGAACAGCCACTGCACCCGCTGCTCCAGTTGCTCTGGAGGAGATGTCACCGGGAAAGTGTGTGTGTGTGTGTGTGTGTGTGTGTGTGTGTGTGTGTGGGGGGGGGGGGATTTTTTTGGTGTTGGCTAGGACAGCACAAAATCTAAATACACTCCTGGGCACACCTCCCCAGGAATTGGCTGGAGTACCATAAGCATTCAGGCTGCATGACCTGTTCCTCCCACTGTGATTCTAGAATTCTCGAGAAGACAGGAGCAAGTAACAGAGCAGCAACCTGTGAGACACTGTGTAAGGGACCGCCCGGCAGCACCTCTAGCAATCCACTGGTCAGGTGCTTCCAGAGTGCGGAGTCTAAGTCCCGGAGCACTTGTTCACCAGGGCCCCTGATGGTGGGGATGGACTTGGAGCGCTCCGAGACCAGGATGCGACTACTGGGCACACCCACCAATGGTAGAGGTATCCGCCGAGGGCTCCCGCAGAGTAAGAGCCTGATGTGAGGAGGTTGGGCGATCCCGACGGGATGGATGGCTGAGCAGGTGCAGGGTCAAACAAGCCGGGTCGGGAGCCGTGGGGTCTGCGAGGTACAAAACAGCGGGCAGAGACTAGTCGGGTCACACGCCAGGTCAGCAACAGTAGATCAGAACAAACGGGGGGCATCCAGGAGAGAGGTCAGGCAAGCCAAGGGTCAGGGCAGGAGAGTACAGCAATGTCAGAAGCAATCCGGGTCAGCAACTATCCAAAACACAGGTACACAGATCAGGGAACAGAAAAGGACAAAACGGCAGCCAGTGACAGCTCAGGGCGATTTAAATACCGCGCCCTGCGCTGTCATTGGTGCCCGGCACGCACCCGTGTCTCCCAGTGCGCAAGTTCGCCACCGCGGCCAGCCCGGACCTAGTGCCCGCATCCCCATGCGAGGCGGCGCACTGCGCCTGCGCCGGGACCAGCGCCGTGGCGATTTCTGACACACTGAGCAGCTCTAAGTAATCAAACCCTTCTCTGATTACAGGAAGGCCAACTAAATTTACCTAGCATCTCTTTGTCCATTCAAAGAGCATTTTTCATTGCTGGAAGCTATAGTACAATACCTATGAGTGGAGTAGGTGGTGGAAAGGGAGGACTTTGTTGGCTCTTTTGACCAAAAGTGCTCATATTAACCCCTCAGCACCGGAAGTGCACACAGGGGCAGCAGAGGAATGAAGCACATATAACAAAGAAAAAAACAGCTCTCCTGCTTCACCTGTCAGGGTCACACTGTGTGACAGAACCATGTAAATCTCAGGACTGGATGAACAGAAATACACATTCTTTGGTGTTGTATCTGTGTATTTATCTGTATGCCTGGAGTTTAGCTTTGAATGGGCATTTCAGATACTAATTTGAGCTTTTTAGGTGAATAAAGGAAAAAATGCGTGTGCATGCATAATGCAGGTTTACAAAAATTGTAAAACAGAAATAATTCAGTTTAGTCATCAGAAAGGGTAACTGCAGGGTCTTTTATGGGTGCAGTAAAGGGTTAACCTAATGGTGGGTTTGCTCGATTTTCCTGACGCGTGTCCTCATTTCACAGGTGGACAATGCCCAAGCCTTTGTGTGGCTGTCTCAGCTCCGACACCGCTGGGACGATGACAGGAAGCATTGCTTCGCCAACATCTGTGACGCTCAGTTCCTCTACTCCTACGAATATCTTGGCAACACTCCTCGGCTGGTTATCACGCCTCTAACAGATAGGTGGGTGACATGGCGCCAGCTTCGCCGAACACAGCATCCCTTTTTATAGATGGCTGGGCTGTGCGGGAATGACTGTCCCACGGCCAACACTCTATAAACAGCTGCTCTTCAGAGTTTACATCATAAAATCGCATTCCAATATCCCTTGTGGAGACAAAACTATTGGAGTCATTTGGTTGGATGGGCTCGTTCCATATAGTCAGTCTCCTCTAAAAGGGTTGTAAAAAAGGAACATTTGCTTAGTGTTTTATATTTTTTGCAACCACTTCCACCAGTTTTAAGCGTGAAATGGTAGAGAGTGGTTTCCAAGAGAGAACCACCACAAATACTATTTTGTGGTGGAGTTTTCAGTGTGGTGCCCCTCATCCCCATGGAAGGTGAATTTTTCTTTTTTGGATACACCTTAACAACCAAATAAAGAGGAGCCCCATTGCCTTGTGGGATGTCAAGAGGTGGGCTTGAGCTCCAATTTAGCACACACCATTGTGACAATTCTATGGAAAACCTTTAGTATTTGAAGCTTACAGCTCTTTGCCCCACCAGATGTTACATCACCCTGACCCAGTCCCTCCATCTCACCATGAGTGGAGCCCCTGCGGGACCAGCTGGCACTGGAAAAACTGAAACCACCAAGGACTTGGGTCGAGCCCTTGGAATTATGGTGTATGTCTTCAACTGCTCTGAACAAATGGACTACAAGGTAATTCATCTGACAGACTTCAAGCTTGGGTATCGTTGTCCGCATGGGTTCCTTTCATCATACAATACCTCCGTTTTTTTCATTGTATCTTCCAGTCCTGCGGGAACATCTACAAGGGCCTGTCACAGACCGGAGCCTGGGGCTGCTTTGATGAGTTTAATCGAATCTCTGTGGAGGTCTTGTCTGTGGTGGCCGTTGCAGGTGAGGAACGTTTCTCATAATTTGGTGGTAAAGCCAGTAAGAAAGTATCAAATAATGCACATTAGTTTCAGATAAAGTAAAAAATCAATTTCCTGTCACCAGAATTCTAAATGTTCAACCACATGGTTAAATATGGGTCTCTTAATAGAATGAGATTAATGTCTTAATGACAAACCCCTAATTAGCATCATATTGATTTCACTCCAATTCTCTGACAGCTTGTTGAGGAAAACAGACTTCAGTATTGTCATGAAGTGATAGGAAGACGCTAGAGGTCAGAGGCATTATGGGAGATTCTCGGCTTCTAAATGGCAAACTTTACAAATATGAGACCTTTTAAGAAAAGCCTGGAGGGTCCCCGAAGAGATGTAGAAGGTGTTGGAAAGGTCACTGTTTATAGAGCGCGTTCTCCCGTCATTCTGTCTGTTACTCAATGGGATTTTTAACTCACATTTACCTGAAGACGTAAGAGTGTGATTCTGAATCTGAACATCAATTCTGAGTGTGAACCTTAGTGGCAAAAAGCACTTTATTTAATATCGGCAAACGATAATTAAAGGTATGGCCTCGCAGTTACGCACTGTGCAGTTACACTGTGGGTTAGTCTTTTTTTAACCCTTTCTAACATGGAGGAACCCTTGAAATAACTTTCAAGTCTCAGGGAACTGCTGCTAATAACTACAGTATGAAACAGAGAGCAAAAAAGTGAGCGCTTTAGATGGACAAGCAGCTGAAACACACAGGATAACCAAAAAAATCCTCACATGAAAATAAAATATAAAGTGCAGCGCTATAAATATAAATGTGACATAAAAATATATATTAAAAAGTCCCAATAAAGGTGACCTTGGGTAACAATGCACACTGACCAGAAGTGCACATAAATAGTGCAATGTAGCAAAGATGGAATTCAGAAAGTAGTCATCAGCATGGAGAGGGTAGATGTATTCCCTTGATCAATGAAGGTCCGCACGGTGAAGATAAAAGCTGGGCAGAATAAATCCACACACAGTGCCCATGCGGAGTTGTAGTCTGCCTGTGATTGGCTGTCGGTCTCTGGCCACCAGAAGGAGTTTTTTCCGGATGTGGTGCGATCCTACCGCGGAGCAGAGTGAGTATCGCGGAGTGTAGGTGTAACACCTACACCTACACTCCGCGATACTCACTCTGCTCCGCGGTAGGATCGCACACATCCGGAAACACTCCTTCCGGTGGCCAGAGACCGACAGCCAATCACAGGCAGACTACAACTCCGCATGGGCACTGTGTGTGGATTTATTCTGCCCAGCTTTGTCTTCACCGTGCGGACCTTCATTGATCAAGGGAATACATCTACCCTCTCCATGCTGATGACTACTTTCTGAATTCCATCTTTGCTACATTGCACTATTTATGTGCACTTCTGGTCAGTGTGCATTGTTACCCGAGGTCACCTTTATTGGGACTTTTTAATATATATTTTTGTGTCACATTTATATTTATAGCGCTGCACTTTATATTTTAATAACTACAGTATGTCTGCAGCTCACAGTACATTAGCATCAAGTTGAGATTTAAGAATAACGAAAATGTGGCGTACTTGGCATGTTCACCATCCACTCTATGGCAGCCTTTCCCAACCTTTTTAACACAGAAGAACCCTTGAAATAACTTTCCGGTTTCAGGAAACCCTTGCTAAAAGTTAAAACCTCCACAACTCGTGATACATTAGTGTGATGGTCAGCGGTAGACATGTGCAGAACGAAAAAATGTTGTTTAGTTTTATATTTCAATATTTTTTTATGAAAAAGTAAGTACAAGTACATAGAAACATACCCCACCCACACGGTGAGTTGAGGCAAATAAACAGGTTCATACGTATATAGGCACGTAAGAAGTATCAATCAATCAATGATATCGTAACAAGAAAATACAACCCCCATATGGTGACAAATGTATCATTGGTCAGTAAACATGGGCAGTTTCATATTGACATTTAAAAAAATAGCTTTTGTTTAGTTTTAGATTGATTTGTTAAGTTACAAATTTCATTTTGTTGCATTTGTAGCAAAATGTAAATTTGTTTAGTTTCATTTTGTGTATTTGTTTTCGATCGGATTCAAATTTTTCCAGTAGATTCAAAGTATTTGAATCAAATTTGAACTGAATTCAAATTGAAAATATTGAATCAAGCCAAATTCATTGTGAAGAATAGCTGGTTCTATTCTAGTTGAAACGTGAAATTTTGATCAATATTATTTCTATTTTTTTTCTTTTCTATTATTTTCTACTCTATTCTTGCCTATGCTTTTCTATTCTGATTTATTTTTAATTCTTTTCTCTTCTTTTCTATTTTGTGTTTTGTTCTATTCCTTTATTTTCTATTTTATTCTTCTATTTTCTGTTCTATTCTGTTCTTTTTTGCTCTATTCTTTTTTTTTTTTTTTATTCTATTTTTTTCAAAACTTGAATTTCAGAAGACGGCTATATTCTTTTTTTCTTCTATTATTTTCTATTCTATTTTATTCATTTCTATTCTATTCCTTTATTTTCTATTCTTTTATTTTCTATTCTTTTTTTTTTTTTACTCTATTCTGTTCTGTTTTATTCTATTCTTTTTGAAATTTGACTTTTGGAAAACCGCTATATTCTAATACACATAGTAAAACCTATTGTAATGTTTATATTTAGAATTTGTTTTCAAATTTGTTTTTGAATTCAGTTAGAATTCGATTTGAATTTCGGACTCAATTTTGTTTTGTTATTTCGGATTTAAGTTAGTTACCATTGTAATTTGGATACATCCAAGTCAACGATTAATGAAAATTTTGTCCGATTATTGATTCAGAATGAAACGAACCACACATGTCTAGTCAGAAGAATGTTTCTTACATTTGTGGTCATTGGGAAGAATTACCCCATTACAGATAACTAAAAAGATCAATGGTGTCGGTGGGAATTTATCTCAGAGTCAGAATTGCTCATAGCTCAAGGAACCCCTAGCAACCTCTGGAGGAATCTTGGTTGAGAAACACTGCTATATGACATATAAATCACTCTATGTTTAATAAATAGTAATATTGTCCAGAAATAATGCAGTTGGTGAAAAATGTATAATTCCTGTGGTGGTCAGTGGAAAAATGACCCATACATTGGTGGTCAGTGATGTGCCCCTTACATTGGTGGCCAGTGATGTGCCCCCTTACATTGGTAGTTAGTGGAAAAGGGTCCTTGTAGATTGGTCATGCGTTAAGAGAAGGGTCACCTTACACTAATAGTCAGTGAGAGGAACACCCCATTACACTGGTAGTCAGAGGGAAGAATGTTCATTAAACTAGTGGTCAGTGGGAAGAATGCATCTTAGAAAAGTGGCCCGCGGGAAGAATATTCTCTTACATTGATGGTCAGTGGGATGAAAAATGGTCCCTACATATGTAGTCAGTGGGGTGAATGATCCTTATATTGGTGATCAGTGGGAAGAATGTCCCTTACATTGGTGATCAGTGGGAAGAATGTCCCTTACATTGGGGGTCAGTGGGAAGAACGTCCCTTACATTGGTGATCAGTGGGAAGAATGTCCCTTACATTGGTGGTCAGTGGGAAGAATGTCCCTTACATTGGGGGTCAGTGGGAAGAATGTCCCTTACATTGGTGATCAGTGGGAAGAATGTCCCTTACATTGGTGGTCAGTGGGAAGAATGTCCCTTACATTGGTGGTCAGTGGGCAGAATGCTCCTTATATTGGTGGTCAGTGGGAAGAATGCTCCTTACATTGGTGGTCAGTGGGAAGAATGCCCCTTACATTGGTGGTCAGTGGGAAGAATGTCCCTTACATTGGTGATCAGTGGGAAGAATGCTCCTTACATTGGTGATCAGTGGGAAGAATGTCCATTATATTGGTGGTCAGTGGGAAGAATGCTCCTTACATTGGTGGTCAGTGGGAAGAATGCTTCTTATGTTTGTCATTAGATGGATGAGTGCCCCTTACATTGGTGGTCAGTGGGATTAATGACCCTTAAATTGGTGGTCAGTGGGAAAAATGCTCCTTACATTGGGGGTCAGTGGGAAGAATGCTCCTTATGTTTGGTATTAGATGGATGAATGCCCCTTAAATTGGTGGTCAGTGGGAAGAATGCTCCTTACATTTGGGATTAGATGGAAGAATGATCCTTACATTGGTAGTCAGTGGGAAAAAATCCCCCTTTACAAATAGCTAAAAGGAGCAGTTTCTTTTCTGAGAGGCAGAAACTGCTCATAGCTCAAGGAACTCTCAGCAACCCCTGGAGGAACCCTGGTTGAGAGAGGATATTGTCCTGGGACCTTAAAAAGTGAAATGAGTTGACTTCTTCCAGAGTGCGTAGCTCCGGTGTATACAGGCTGAAACCAAACTTTTTGGGTCCCATTTATGAAAGTGGATGAAAGGAACTGAGACCTGATCTGTCGAAGTGTTATTACAAGGAACTAAAGTTATTTCTACACAAGATGGAAAAAGAAGCCAAGCTCAGGACTCAAGTTCCAAATGAGAGTGTAGGTTTTTTTTTTTTTTAATAAGGTGTGTTCACCTCAAACAGGAAAACTTAACTGCTACATCTGAGCACCACAAACCAAAAATGCTCTTTAATTCATTTTTAATATTCAACGCAAACTCCCCCAACTATCTATGTCTCCATGCTTTATTTTGCTGGGAAATCACTTTGACCCTTTTGGCCGTGGCCATCTTGAGTAAGGACAGATTATTCATGTAGCATTTACTTCCTGGAATCCATTTGCCCTTAGCTCAGGCATGCAGGCAGGAGGGTGTACTTAGCTGAGAAAACCCCTCCTCCCATGAAGACTCCTGGAATGTATGACATCATTTGCCTAAGCCAGAAACTGGGAAGTCAATGAAAAAGTGTAAAAAAAAGGTTTAAAACAAGTAAATATAATATAATTTCCTATC